CCTGGGCCCTCTCCTCTTCTCACCTGTCTATCCAGCTAGTCGCCTTTGTGAACAGGTGTTTAACCTCTACAGAGTGGACGGATGTGATGTGTGTGCCTCTACAGGCTTGCTTCAGAAAGTCTTCTCATAATTCCTGGGAATGTACGGAACTTGGAGGACATACCAGAAGAACAGAGCCACAGGTAGAAGGAACCTTGATCTCTGAAGAACCCCATGGAAGGATGTCCCTGCTGGACTTTGAATGACCAATCAGTTTCATTGTGCTGGTCCACTGGAATTTTGGAGTAGAGATGCTAATGTCTTCTTATTCCTGTAGCTGCTTTTAGGACACCCTCCATGAGAAGAAATGCTGGGCTGAAGTTGGTGCCTTTATCCTGGCTGTCCCAGCTTGAAAAGAAAGAGGATAGTGACAATTATATATTGGTGTGTTCCTGTTGAGTTTATAAGCTGCATGAGACATACTAGTATGTCTTTTATCTTTTTTGTATTTAATCTTTGAGTGGGCATGTATTGAAATGTCAGGTTTTTCTTGGGGGGGGGACTTTCAGAATACAAGTATCACATACTGCTAAATATTTTATTAATACATTCAATATTTTTGAGTGCTTGATGTCTGTTAGACACTGGCAATCAATCATTGCTAGACAACAGTTTCAGGGCCTGACCACTGGTTGAGGTATAGCAAGGAAAATAGATAAGAAGGGAAGATAAGATGAGCCCAGCTTGATAATGCCCTGAGCTACAGGATTCCTGGGTGGAGGGGCCTTCTGTCCAGGATGGTTGAAGAAAGTGCTTTGGAGAAAATGGTTAATAAAAATCTTCCAAAGTAAGTGGAAATCGGCAGGGGAAGGAGAGGCAGCAAAGAGAAGAGGAAGAGCGGGTATGTTCATGAAGGCTTAGATGCTAGGGACCAGGGCATGTTTGGAGCTGTAACAGAGGGATGGGAAGAATGAACTTGGGACAGATACATCTAGGCACATGCTTAGATGCCTTGGTAGGCTTTGTCATGTGGCCAGTTGTCATATGCAAAGTTTCTGCTAAGAGCAGATGTGGCATAGCCATCAAGATGCTTACACTTGTGATATCTGTGTAGTTGCTACTTTCTTCATTATGCTACCTTCTTTGTTTCGGTTTTCTACAGTGAACATGTATTACACTGCCAATTAAAAATAAAAAAAAAACATTTTTAGATGCTTGCTGTGACTCTATCTTCCATCCATCTTTAAAGAAGTCCTCTGAGAGAGCTGGGGTCCAGAGCTCATTCACAGTGAAGGTAGCTTTAAACTTAGGGCGACCTCTCATTCTCTTCACCTCTCCATTGCCTTTGCCTTCCGTGTGGCTTCTAAAAAATCCTGGTGGTTTTGTTAATCACAGACAGTGCCTGTGTGTTTGTGTGTATGGAGTATGCAGCTTAAGAGAAATCAGGACAGAGATTCTATGATCTGTCCCTGCTTAAGGACCTTCCCTACACAAGTGATGGTTTGTCCTGGGCTGCAGGGACTTGCCTTTTCTGTGACACTGTTACGTCCACTCCTACTGATTTGGCAATTAGTGGGGAAGTAACCGATAATGTTGTAAATGCCGGGAAGGCCGCTGTTCCCAGTAATCCCTTCAACCCATATCTTCCTCCAGCATTCTGGCACATGGCTAACCATGATGGTGTTTCCAGTGAACATCCAAACACTTGGACGTCTGGAAGTGCTGGGTCAACATTTTCTATCTTGTTGGAACAGTGATCAGCAACCTCAGAGCCTTAGAAGAACGCGAGTTTGTTTTCTGTGCTTGCCTGTTTCCACTTCATCCAGGCCCAAATGTTTACTCTTGAGGCGCAGCCTGGAAGAGCCCTGCCTGAGACACTGCTAGTGTGGACCGAAAGAGAGAGGTTATACCACTGAGTGACACTTAAAACTTTGCTCAGAAGTCACTGCCGTTCATCCTCTGTGGGCTAAAGCATGCCACGAAGATGAGCCCGACACAGAAGAAGAATGTGGGATCTGATCGGGAGGGCAGCTGATATTTCGCAGTATAAATCTTAGGTTCTCTATCCGGAAAATGAAAAGAGGTAAAACAAGCTAATTTTACGGTTTGTTCGAATATTATAATTCAAACCATGGACTGTCATGTAGCCACTTTGAAAGATGAATTGTCTTGAAACTATGAGCAGGCCTGGAGGAGCCCATCGATGGCTTTAAGTAAGAAAAGTAAGCTATACGGCCATAAATGAGACCATGTAAACATGGTTTTATTTTTGGATAAATTGAAAAAGCCATAAACCACGCATGGTGGTACATATCTGTAACTCCAGCACTTCGGAGGCTGAGACAGGAGGATTGCTACAAGTTTGAGGCCTAGCTGGTCTACACAGTGAATTTAAAATGTCTCAAAACAAAAAACAAAAACCAGAAACCAAACCAAGCCACCCTGCAAGTATATGAGCATGCTGGTAGGAGATTACTAATAAAAATGCCTTGTGAGTCCTTTCTTAGGTGGACAGCATTATATTAAAATGTTTTGTGTTGTTTTTAACATATATTTGCTCATTTAATCCTAGAGATAGAGAAAAGAGAAGGAAATGGCTTGAACCAGGTGGTTATTAGCCACTTTAATTGGAGGGGAGGAAAGTTTGCTTCTGCAACCACCCCGAATGTGCCCCATCTTGTCTGATCTCAGAAGCTAAGCAGGGCAGGGCCTGGTTAGTACTTGGATGGGAAAGGGGATTTTTCTTTAAAACTAAGATGATTGCTTTACGTTCGTGTTGTGCAAAATGGGTCAACTAACCAGCAATTATCAGGAAACAAACCACCACAAAAATCTAAGCTTCAGCCAGCCTCAAGCACGTTATTTTCTGCTCATTGGCCTGTAGTCAGTGGAGGCGGCTTAGCCTTCCCCAGGCCCCATTCAGTCTTTTCTGCTGTCCACTGTGCCTTCCAACCACCCCTGTGGTTTTCTATGTCATGATGGCTTTTCCTGGAATTACTGCCTTGTTGTAGTGTTGCGTGCATATGTGATATGCAAGCTGGAGAAGCTGGGCTTTGGGTCAAACTCCAGGCTTCCTAATGTGGTCATTGTGGTTGTTAGAGAGGCAACCTCTATTGGGGATACAGTTTCAGGGCCCAGAACATGGGAGGTGGGCAGACACCAAGCTATTCAAGACCCAGGCTTCGCTCTGGTAAATCGTGGAGATTGTATAAGGAAAAGAGGCAGCGTTTTCTGAATAGTAATCCACCACAGTAGATGCGATCGAAAACCAAAAAAGCAAGAAGAAGGGTACATGCCAAGGAGGCTGCACTGGGCATCATCTGAAGCTGTGCTATGCATTTTGGAAAAAAAAAAAATACACATTCAGTGCATGAAATACTGAACACAGTGATGCAAAAACGGCCCTTCAACCAGAGTATTCATTGCCTGGCATGGCAGGTAAAAGTTTAAACCAGCTTGGCTTGTGCAGCTTCTGGTGGGGCATTAATAATAAGCAAAAACCAGAGGCTATTTCATGCCATCTGTTTATATTGTTGCCACTTGTTATAAAGCCCCAGTTTCCAGAATTGGAAGGCTCAGGTGCTTATGTTAAGCAGGTATTCCTAACTTAGAGAGAAATTGCTTTTGCCAAAATGACCATTTTGGGCAGGGTTTGTCTACACTTCTAGAAACTGATTTGTCACTGAAATTCCCAGCTGTGAGTTAGCTGAGTGACGCAATAACTTGGTGGCCAAAAATGGAATGGGAAGAAGTCAGGTATCATGGGTGGACCCGGAGTCTTTGATTGTTTCTTTGCATAACCTAGCCAGCAAATATTTGAGTCAGTTGGGAATATTCACTAGGTTCTGAGAAGATCCTTACAAACTGCAGTGTCATCTTCTGTCGCTTCCTCAGGCCAGCAGAGCCAAGTACAGCCCTGAATCAGCACACCCAGTGACCCAGGGCATTAAAGAGCTGGAGAGATGACTCAGCAGTTAAGAGCACCTGCGGCTCATGCTAAGGACCCAGCCTTGTTTCTCAGCACCCACATAGCAGCTCACGTCCATATGTAATTTCAGTTCCAGGGATTTTGACATTTTCTTCTGGTCTCTACAGAGACCAGGTATGCTTGTGATGGTCAAACATACATACAGGCAAAATCTGAGATGGGGTGGGGGGGCGGGTGAGGCAAGTGGTGAAGGAGAGAGAAGAGAGATTAATTTACTTAAAATGTTGGCCAGGAAATCAGGCATGTTCTAATTTCCATTCTCTTCCAAGTAGTTTGGAAAGTACGGGCTGATAGAGCTTAGGAGAACCGATCATATTCTTCCCACATAAACGTCTTAGACAGTAATTTATTGTTAGGAAAAATCTTAGGACTAGCCGCTCCACTGACACAAACGAACGCCAATCAGACCAGATTAGACCAAATTAAGTGCCTGTGTTTAATAGACAGCACACTCCCGGGTGGCCAGGAGAGCATGACGAGGGGAACACAGAGGGAACACACGCACAAACCCAAAACCACATGTTCCTTGTTCCTCTGTGACCCTAAATACCCTGCGGGTGTGGTCAGCGCTCGGCAGGCTGGGCGCAACACTTCCAACTCAATATTACATTTATCAGGATCAGATTTCTCAAATTTCAGTCACTCACCCATCAACCTTTCCATTTTATGTGTCCACTAACATATTTAAAATCTATTTAATTCTTCTCTTTACATGTCTTACTGTTTGAAAAGTCAAAGATATTCATGGGAGATGATACACAATTGTTATTGGATTGTGTTGGGAACTACAGTTCACTGATAACAAGTGATAGTTTGCTCAAACTTTTAGGCAAGTATAAATATAAATACAGAATCATTAAGTAGATGTGTTCATGTATGATTGAACATTGCCTCTTATTGTAAAAGTGATAGAGATCCTCTGTTGATAGGGCAGAAAATTATGGTTCAAAAAACAAAATCATTGACATTCCTAGCTCGTAGTGGGAACTTAAACACAACTTAATTTTCTTCTTTCCCTTGCTTTACTTTTCAGACAGTGTTTATGAACATCACCAAATAGACGATAGGGATGGTGTTGACTTCTTCTAGAAGAGTTTATCATCCCATTGCTGGCCACAAAGTGCTGAGGGTAAAATGAAGACTGAGTAGATGGAGTTGAAAACGGGGCTCAAGGCCTGATTTCTCATCATAAGGTAAATCATTTAAGAACCCTAAGCCTGTTTTTGTCATGTGGAAGATGATGATGGTGATTGTTATTACCTCAAAGAATTTCGATGGGAATGCAAACAATACCAAGTGGAAAAGTCGCTGCTTAACTGATAACATTTCTGTTTTGATGTACATATATCATGTAGCATGTATGTGTTGGTATGTGTATTCCTGAAACAGCTTGTGCTCAGCAGAGTTGAGCATTAAAAATAACTGTTTTTTTTTTGCAAAGCCCAGTTTGGGGCAGACCATACAACCTGTTAAAAAACCATGGCCACAATGCTAAGATAAAACTGAAAGAATTAGAAAGACCTGTTGAATTAGAATGAGCAAATACATCTGCACTTACATGTTACAGCTAATAAAGAATTATCCTTTGAAGCTGGCAAAATCGGCTTGACAGAGGCTGAGAAAGGATGAGGCTCCTGAGTGAGACAGAGAATATGCTCAAAGACAAGAGACACTGCACAGTAAGCTCTTCTAAGATTTATTATCATTGCTGGGGGGGGGGGAGCTCTTATACTGCTGCCATCCCATTGGTCATCAGCCTTGCAGTAACCCTGTCTTGCTGTAACTTGGGTTACAGTACCATGCATTAGAGCAGTGCGGGCCACATTCACCTTGTTTGTTTACCTTCTTTCAGGCCTCCACAATCTTCTGAACTTCATTGTCAGGATAGGCGATCAATCCCAGAGGTAGTAGTCAGTAAGAGATGTATTTGTGCCCCTGTCCTTCCTTCCCTTCTTCGCCTGATCAGGTTCTGTCCTCTCCTCCTTTGCTTTAGGGCTCCTCTTTTTTACCAGCCTGTGAGCTCCTTGAACAAGGTGCCTAATGATCATCTTTGTGCTCTAAGGATTCAGCATAAGGTCCCTAGAGCAGAAGTGTTACATTGCAGTTGAACTTCCAGTAGCCAAGGCAAACCTCTGGACCCTTTGAGGTAGCACCAGGGTTCGTCTCCAGGCAAGCTGAAGATTGGAAGCTTTCAGGGACAGTGTATGACTCCACTGTATCTCTAGGGATGCATCTGTCTCTTTCAAGTATGGCAAGATAGATCATGGGGTCTCCATCCTTCTTCAACCAGGAGAGTCAAACAAGCAGCCTTCTTCTTCCCTCCCTCCCTCCTTCCCTCTCTCCCTCCCTCCATTCCTCCCTCTGTCCCTCTTTCCCTCCCTTCTTTCCTTCCTCCATCCCTCTGTACCTTTTTTCCTTACCTCCCAACAACTGCCCACTGAACACTGCTCCATGACAGACTTTGACAAGGCCCCGAGGATGGAGTGGTGTACAGTAGGCATGTAGCTTCCATATTTTTTATGGTTTATGTGCTAGTTTCTGTCCCTAGGTTGCTGGGAAGGGATTTCTGTCTGTATCCTTTACTCCGTGTACAGACTTGAGCCAGTACCTCTCTGTGTCCCAACCCCTTATCTATAAAGGAGGCTCATGGGAGAATCTATTTCAGATTGTGAATGTTCAGCAAGTTTCTGTGTCCATATGATACTAGCTGACATAGCAAATACCTAACAAATATGAAAGGTAATTGCCAGTGTTATAGTTGCTACGCAGAAGTAAGAAATCAACCAATCAGCATAGATCACAATAGTAAATAAATGCTATGGGTAGAAATATCTGGGCAGGAAGTACGTATGATGTGATTATGTTGAATATGTAAACAGTATCTGATGGGAGTTATTGAACCTGTAGCTCTGGGAGATCTCCAAATACCCATCTGGTCCTGAAGATGAACAATGAGGACCGTCTTAAGGGAAAGCATCAAGGAAGGGTTACGATGTAATACATAAAACAGACGGAGAAGAGGTAGCATGAGCCGGAAGAGAGATGGGGACCAATCCCAGGCAAGAAAAGAGGCCCCATCAGTGACCAGATGTTGAGCACTTTTCTCTGTGGAGTCTGCACTTGGCCAATACTGCTAAAGGAATTTTGTTCTTCAATATCTGTTCCAGTGTCACTGGAGACCCTGTTGGATTTTTTTTTCCATTACTGCATGGGCACTGGCTCTTCTCATATCTGGAGGACTCAGAACTCCACACAAGACATTTTTAGAACCCCTTCTGCCATGCCTGCTAAATCCCTGTGCCACTGAATCCCCTGCGTGATTAGATTTCTTGTTGCTGGTGGTGATGTGGTGTTGGTGACTTCTTTGTTGTGTTTCTTATTTCCAATGATATAAATCTAGAAATCTAATGAACAATGATTTCTAGGTACCGTGGTCCCTATCCCTGCGTCTAAATGAGCATTTGATGTCAGAAACTAAAGCATGGATAACCTTGGGTACTTCATCTTACGTGCGGTTTGGTTTGTAGACATTCATCCCAACTGAGCAAGGAGCATGTGCTCTAGTGACGAGTAGTAAGGTCACTTTAAGTCTCAGTTTCTTCATCATGGAGCCTCGGCCAGATCACTTGTCTTTACCAGTATTATGGTAAAAGTGGGTTCAACTTTATTGTCTAATATTAATAGTTTCAGCCTCACTCTATGACAGAAAAGGGTAAAGGGACAACTATCAGCTGGGGATTTTATTACCATGCTCCCTGTGAAGGGATCCCAAACTGATAAACACTGTTCTCTGGTCCTTTCTTGGTCTGAAGGTCTCAGGATCCCAAGATGGTTTTTCTTTCTCTCTTGTCATTTCCCACTGGCCAATATACGTGTGCCTAGAGTCTATATGGCCCAGTCCTTGGTCAGACCGCGTATTAACCCTTTAGTGTTGCTGTGTAGAATGTCTGTCCTCCTCCCGTTGGCTTCCCCTCCACCTACAGACCTTCTCAGAGCTCTCCTTTCAAGGGACCTTAACTGTGTTTACATGGCTCCACTCTGAAGGGCTTCCTCATCTTCTAGGCTGTGTAGTTCTGAAACAGACAGTACTCACTAGTAAACTCATCTGCTGCCACACTGACTTGGGATAATCCTGGGTCATTTGTGAGACTCCTCATCCTCCACATGGTTTTACTAGACTAGGTTCTGAGCCGAGTAGGTTCTTACCAACCACCCACTGCTGCGTTGCTTGGGTTTGTGTCCGTAGGAATACCAAGGGCAATTATTTATAACATTAGCTTCCTCAGATCAAGGAGTACTTCTGAAGATTCTTTTTGAATTTAGTACTCCAGATTTTTTTCTGACAACCACTTGTATTAGTACTCTCTCTTCAGTGAGCCAAAGAAAAAAGAGACTGGGCTGCCCAGCTCTTGAGTTTTTGTAGTTCCACGCCAGCCTGGTGTAGGCTGGGACAAGGATGATGAGGGAGGTGGTAGTGATGATAGTATTGATGATAAAGATAGCAATAATCGTCCTGTGAGAATACTATTATCCCCATTTTACAGATAAGAAAACTTAAGGCTCAGAACACTGTGGTAACTCCCTCTGCCACACAGGGAGGACTTAGCAAAGGCAGGATTTACGTCTGCCACGTGACTCAAAGGCAGAACTCCTTCCCTACTCAACTGCACTCCGCCACTCCCCTGGTGGATGCGCAGGGTCAGGAGCTTCCTGAGAACAACAGGTCTGTCAAGTTCTGCAGGGCTGAGCTGTTTATCATTGTGGAGGATACTCATCACTGCACTAATTACATTAATTGCTGCCCACTCTGAGGCCAGGTGGGTGGCTTAACAACACCTAGCAACGTGGGTAATGATGCCTGGGCCTGCCTTTATGCAGAAAACATCTGACTTTTTTTTTTTCAACTCCTTCCTGTGATGGCCAAAGACGGTAATTATAGGTTGGATTGGTTGGAAGCTAGATGCTCTACCATGTAGGGGAAAGGTCAAACCTATGAACTTTGCTCTTCTTCAGACTCTTTACTGGAAGCAGGGAGGCAGGATGAAGGTTTCCGAAGCATCTGTTGTAATTTCCTGCTTGCACAGGAGCAGGTACTCTCTTTCTCTCCATCTGTTGGAGAGAACCTGGTCAGCTGCTTGGGATCAGAGAGCTAGCGGGGAAGAGGAGACAGGCTTAGGAACTAGGAACTCGCAGAGGGACACACTGAATACGAACACCATAACACCCCTTACTGGAACACTGATCTTTCTGGCACCCAAGTGGAGCTGAGTAAGTAGTAGCAGGGTCTTGCAAGACACCAGGAAGAGTGTTGTGTGGCATTCTCCAGCCCTCAAAGATGAGGGCTTGAGATCTCAGCTCCCCTGCCTGCTTTCCTGAGCTTATAAGTGTACTAAACACAAATTAAGTTAGATGTAAGTCAGAATGTTTTCTCGTTGATATGTTAGGTAATTTAAAGACAAGTTTTACATATTTGTTGAGAAGAGACAGGTGGCTTTGGTAATTCGTCCTAATTGAGTAAGTGACTTAACTTCCACAGAAAGCAGAGGATAATTTGGGAAGTCACTGGCTTTGGAATGCTGTGCATTTGTGTACTTTATGGGTGTGTCCATATCATATGTGTGGGTATATATGTCAACGAGTTTATTCTCTGTGTGTGAGTTCTTTTAAAAGTCTTAGAGCGGGTAAATGACCTGGCTCCCATTGTAACTCCTGTGAGGGCTTGGATTTGAATGTTCCCTGAAAGCCATGTCCCATACCAAAACCTCTAACTGTGAGTCTCCTTCAGACTGACTTGCCTCAACCTTGCTTACAACAGACTAAAAACCTACCACCTTTCTGTGAGTGAGGTTTAAGGTATATTCCACTAACTCTTCGAACAAGTACGTTACATAACAATATAGGGAGGCAAAGATATTTAGAGATAGACTAGGGTTTGAATCTTGGCATCACTTTTTATTAACTGTTTTGCCCTAGACAAGTCATTTAATCTCTCTGGGCATTGATTCTTCTCACTTCTAAAAATAGGGATAATAACAGTTCTGACCTGATGGTATTCCTACAGGCTAGGAGGTCTCTGAAAGCAGGAACCATGTTTACCTGCTGCTTTGTCCCCAGCCAGAATGAGGTTTGAGCTGAGCAGCCTTTGGACTCAAAATAATACTTCCATTCTTAATCTAATACTCCCCAGTTGGCTGTGCAACCCGGGAGAAATTAATATTCCTGTAGAATTTTCATTCCTATAACATAGAGCTTTGTTATGCTTCCTTGAAACGCTTGCTTTATCACACAGGGGCTTGAATGAGGGGGCAGAGGAGGTGGCTGGCCCAGCTTCTCCCAAGGTCTAGTCTCCATCCTACAGTGTTTCTTTCAAGAACAGCTGATTGAATTTCCACTTTCCAAACACATCCTTTGCTCTCACCTGCCGTTCCCCCTTTTCCAGTTCTTTCTTTCCTGTCCCACATTTTCCCGTCTTCCCCTCTTGTTTGGCTCTGCTGTGACTGAGTTCTCCCGTCTGGACCAACACCTGCCCCTGGATGCTCAGCAGCTTCCTCGCTAGCCTTGCTTTCCTCAGTCCCTCCTCCCACAACCCTGGGCAGATCTGTCACCCTAGGCTGCTTCCGGCAGAGGCTGCCGCCTCAACACTTGCCTGTTGGCTGGCTACCTGAGTGTTCCGGAAAAC